GTCAACTCGTGAACGAAATTCCGGCGAACTCGTCCATGACTTGAAGCCCGTTTCCTACCTCGGCGTTCAACTCGCCAAACAAAGAATGTCATGCAGTGTTAAACACGTTTAAACATTCCTCGAGTCGCGAGGAGCACCGTCATTGTTGGAAACTGTTCCGAGTTATTGTTTACTAGGTATAAAGAGTTACTTACGCTGGCACACGGAAGTGTTCAACGGCAACATGCTCATAATTAAAACGGATACATGCCGACGAAAATTAAAATACTTCAGGAATGTTATATCCGTTTCAGAAGGCGTGCGTCACTATCTTAGAACATGCTTGTTTCGAACTTACATCAACGAAAAGTTTGAAATTGCTCTGCCACTAATAATATGTTGGAAATATCCGAATAAATCCGCGGAGAAGCTGGTAAAAAGGTTTAAGCTTTATTGAAAATTATTGTATCATTTTTTATATTTTTGGATAATTTATTGAAAATAACCAATAAAAATAAACGATAAAAATATTGAACAATGAAAGATGTTTGCTGGAAAGTTTTCGCTTCTAGTTTGAATTATGAATGAGATATAGCGAATAATTTTTATATGTTCTTGTGATGAAGTAGAATTTGTATTCTGATGAATCCACGCGTGATAACTTTATACATTTTAGCTATCGTTCTATATAACATAATTAGAAGAATCTGTAAATGTTTAGGTATACGTGGACATTATTTTGTGCTTCAATGAAGCAATTTTCTCTTTGCAATTTAAATGTACGATTTTTTAAATTCTCCAACGTTTTCCAGATTTAAATTTAACACTAAGCGTACCGATACTTTGTATGTATCTATTCCTATCGCAATCAAGCAAATAACTGACTACAAAATGAAAGTAAACAAGTTAGACGATAAATTGTTTTTAGTGGAAATAGAAACAAAAGGAAAGGTAAAAATTGGAAAACTGATTAAGCCGACAGTATAGGAATTGATATAAAAATGATTGGTTTCGGTCATCCCGGTTTTTTTGTTTCGCAATTATTGATATGTTAAGAGCATTGAATATTGGAAATGATTTTGAAAATAAGTAGTTTCACTTGAATACTATAATGAATATCTGAAGAAACTAAAAACAATCTATTGTCATAATTTTTATAGGGATTACATATCAGTCGTATTAAATGCTTGATAGTTCTAGTGTTAAATCCGGTCATTTAATATCTGGTGTTTAGCATATTTTATAAATTATTCGAACCATAAAAACATGTTACCAGCCTATATTATTTATTTTTCAATAAATCACCCAACAATATGAAGAAAATGATACAAAATGTAAAATTCGTGCTCCCAACAAACAACATTTTAGTAACACCATTATCTATACAACAATGCGAACTAACATTTATAATAATTACATAACGTTTTTCAGTGGATACCTGTCTTCTTTAATTTTATGCGACCTGGTGTGATTGAATTAAGGCACAGAGCCTTTGAATTCATAAACATAACATTTGTAAATATAGTGTACTCATGTTTCCAATTTTCCGGCACACGGGAAGAGACGTCCAAGATATTGTTTACAAACTGCATACCGTCAACGCATAAGTTAGTTGGTCATAATGCGCGAGGCAACGGTCGGACGTGAGTTTACGCAGTTTATAAATACCTAGGCTAGGGTGGTGGTTTCTCTACGAACGTTCCTGTGCGTGTGCTATCGCATCAAAAACGCGATTAACGTGCAACGACCGTCGATGTCGAGGACCGCAGTGCCGTAACTTTCGCAGTTACGGTCAGCTGAATGCGAAAAAAATGATCGTTACAGGAAACTTGAAAGCTAGAAGATTTCAACCCACCTTCCGAAGCTTACTTTTAGTTGGATTAGCTTCCGCTCGAGTAACCCTCCGCTAGTCCTTAGTTTTATCAATGTGTATCGCGCGGACATCAAACTATCAGCAATGTATCCGAAAAAGAAAATTTTTACTGAGGATAATGTACCAATAACCAACCAGTTAAGGTTATAAGGACAGTACGTTTATATTATGAATATTATTATAAATATTAGTGTCCTTCTAAATGAATATAAATATTGAGATTTGGAAAGAGGGACTGTTGTGTGTTACGTGATATTTGGAATTAAAAAATATTAGAATTTGTGTGTGGTAAATAGGACGAAACAATAATAAGAGTAAAGAGAGTGGTAATTTAGATAATATTTATATGGTATTATAGCAGTATTAGTTTAAATATAAAATATTTGTATTAAATGTTTTATATTAAATATTTATATTTATATAATCTTAACTTGTTAGTAAGTGGTGCATTTATCTTAGCTGCTCAGTCATTATTGTAGTATCGTAGTTTTAAGACAGTGAGACAGCGAGTGTTCTGATGGCCATAAAAGAGAAAGGGACTCATCGAGACCAGGCCCAAGGGTTGGTGGGTTTTCCCGAGGGATGCGGAAGCAAGGATAATGAGTGCGTGGTGGTGAGAGTAGGGTGTGTTTGAGAATTTGTTGGGAATGTGAGTAAGAAGAATGCTTGTGGTGGAGAGAATGATTTTTAAGTGCGGATAGCGAGAGATTTTGGAGAAAGTTGCGTTGACCTGG